TCCTTTCTCCTTCCTTCCCATCTCCCTCCTCCCCCCTCCCCTTCACTCTCTAAAAATCAGTGGGGAAAAACTACCCTCAGGTGAGGATGAACAGAACTAAATAACACAGAGGCTGTCGGGGCCCTGGAAGCGCTTGGGCCCGCTCGGGACCTGACGGGAAAGGCATTTTATTTTCATATTTTAAAGTTTATTTTGGTGGTGTCGGGAGGAGGATGGGAGGGTTGGTGCAGTGCCCGGCGTCCTTTGCTGCACTCGTGCTGATGGCGCGGAGCTTCCGCCCTCCGTCCGGGGCCCGGTAATGAAGACTGAGCTTGGTGCCCATTGTGCAGACGAGACCAGAAGTTGCGTGGGAAATTGCGTGTCCGAACCCAAGGCCACGCAGTCGGAAGTTTCCAGCCCGAGAACTACCTCAGCGCCGGCGGAGGGGTGTCTGCGGCCTCCCCTGTGGGCCCCGCAGCGGGGAGAGCGGTGCTGCCGGTGGAGGCGCCTGGAAGTTCCCACGTGTTCCAGCGCCCCCTCCCACGCTAAGGCCGGGGAAGGCTTTCTTTTTGTTTTTGTTTTTTTAATCATCACCCAAGGATATTTTTTTCTATTGAATTTTAGAGAGAGTGGAAAGGAGAGGGAGAGACAGAGAGAAACATCGATGTGAGAGAGACAACATGGATTGGTGGTTGCTTCCTGCAGGGGCCGGACCAGGGCCGGGAGCCTGCCACCGCGGTAGGTGCCCTTGACGGGAATCCAACCCTGGACCCTTCATTCCGCAAGCCCATGCTATGTCCACTGAGCCAAACCGGCTAGGGCGAGAGTGTTTTTCTTTTTTTAAATTTTACTTTTTGGCGAGGATTGGCTAGGGAGTGGAAAACAGCCTCCCAAGGTCCGCGGAGAGTGCGCGCTGGACGCCCGAGGTGGCCCTGCTCTGGGTTGGACTCGGCCTCCTCCCGCGTCCGGTGTGTTTCACCGGGGCCCTGAGTGTCTTCGCTCCCCGTGGCCTGGCCTGCTGGGCGGGGCGGAGGCGTCGCAGGGCCCGGAAGCCTACCCACCAGGCGGGACGGCGGCAGCTAGGTCTTGTGCTCTCGGCCTCGGAGGGTTTTGTTCGCCTTGCTGAGTCCCAGACGCCCCGTGAGCAATCCCGAGTTTTCGCCAGACCGGGGAGCCTGAGAGATACGGACCCTCATCTCTCTCCCTGCGCCGGCACCCGGCCCATCCGTCCTGCCGAGCAGAAACCAGCCCAAGTCACTGCCCAGTGGCAGGTCTTGGGCACCTTCAGCCCCACCTCCGGCCGCAGAGGACCCGGTGCTGTTTCAGGCTGGGCTCCCACCTGCTCCACCGCATTTCCTTCCTCCAGGCCGTCCCCCCACTTCTGGCTGCTGGGTGTGCCTGGGAGGACCCTAGCAAAGCAGCCCTGGAGGAAGCCAGGACCCACGTCCCCAGTGGGTGGCTTCGGACAGAGCTAGCTCCATTGCCCTGGGATTATGGTGTGCTAATAAGTTTGGAAGCATTTAAACAGGGAATAGGAAAATTAAATACATTTAGGTTGGGGAGAGTTGCTGACACCCCTTTCCTTCTCTTCAGGGCATTAATGATTATGTTTCTTGTGTTTGCAGGACAAGAAGGGGCTTTCTGGGAAACAGAATAATTTCGAGCGCAAAGCCGTGTATCAGAGGCAAGTGAGGGCACCCAGTCTGCTGGCCAAAAGTATTTTAGAAGGTAAAGCAACGCAAAGTCATCCCTTTAGCCTTTAAAAGGAGGTTCTGAGTGATTCTCATCATTCTGGCTGTATGGTATTTTTGTTAACCTCTGAAGGAGTAATCCTAGGGGGACATACCTTTTATTAGAAGGTTTTGTTGGAGGAAGGAAATCAGGATGTGAGAAAATGAATCTCACACACCTCCTGTTGTTTTTGTCACTGATAATTTTGTTGGGTTAAGATGGAGTGCTGTGAAATTTGCCCTGGTGTGAGTGGTGTGCAAAGATACACAGCCACATGATCCAGGGCAGATGTCCTTTGTCCTGAAAGGAAATAAATTTAAAAAAATTGTTTTGTTGTTGGAGCTGAATAGAGTATGTCAAATAAGAAGTTTAACAGTACCCACACTAACAAAGACTTCTAGTCTGGGTGATCCAACCTCTGATTCCACTCTTTTTCATTTTGCCATTTCCCTCCTGACTTATCTGTAATTGTGGTTATTCCACAGCTTATTACTTTGATAGGTGAGATTGTAGAATGAAACAAGTGAAGTTGAGATTAAATTTGAACAGTGTGAAATTTCTAACTCCATATTTTCACTTTCTCTAAAGCCTGGGGATACATTGATTTTTCTTAAAATATTACTGATTTTTCAAAGCATCTCTGTTTGGGTCTGGGATTTATTTATTGATCTGGTAAATAATATACTGACTACCTTTCACCATTTAAGGAAAAGAAAAGTTTATATTTGCTCTAATTATTGTCACATCAAGATTCAGGTTGAAAAGCAGATTTTTTTTAAAGTAGACATTTGAATTTTGTTTTTTCTTATGTGGCTTCTGAATTGAATTTGTTCTGGACAGGCTTTAAACTTTGTTTATGTTTTACCCTGTGCTGTGTACTTCTGACCTTAGCATAGTTTCTGGTGCATTAAAAGTGAATTTGATTACAAACTAGCTAAACAAATTTTATAACCATAGGGACCACACTAATACGCTGAAATTGTGTCAATGCAATTTGAGAAGTGGGAGGATGAAGTGGAATAGTAAATTTAAGTAAATAACTTCCTGGCAAAAAACTTACTATAGAAAAGGAAACATTGATTTTCACATTTTATTTTATTTGCAAATGAGTACGATGGGTTTGTCACTATGTAAACACAAACATTACAATGGATCCTTCAAACAAATTTGATAGTGTACTTGGGGATGATGAAAGCGTTTTATGCTACCAGGAATTCTATTTATGTTGTTATACTGATTTTTGTTTTTGACTTCATAAAGTGTGCGATGACTTCATCTATCTTCTAATGATTGCATGCTCCACCATGTGGCGATCTGGCCAACAGGATTAGTGCTTGGGAAAAACGACGTGTTAGTTATTTTCAATATAGCAGGGCATCTCAGTGCCTGGCCCTGCTTTTGTTTGCTTGTTTGTACTATTATAGTAGTCAGCAGCCTGGTTCAAAGTTCACTGGAGAATCTGACTAGTTAACAGCTCTTTTTAGTTTTCTGTGTTTCCCTGTTTCCTTATGTCTTTTCTGTTTTTCTCCTCACTAATCTCTCTAACTTTCTCTTTTTTCCTAGTTCTCCTTGGATTATTCTCCAACTGTTACAATGTACATAATGAGCCATCTTTAGAAACTAAAAGTGACATCAGCTCTAGGTATAGATATCTTTTTTAAATAATGGAATGAGATGATATGGATAGTAGTAAATCATTGATTGAAATAAGATCAGCAGCCTTGTCTCTTAATATGTAGGAGCCTGGGAAGAATATTAAAATTTCAGCCAGTAAAGTACACTTGTCAAAATAAACAAACACACTTACAACTACAAAAACAATAACAAAAAGTTTTACAACACACATATTCTTTCCCCCAAAGGGAACAATTTAAAATTGAACCAGTACTTTCGCTTTCTGTATAGAATTGTTAGTGATACAGAACTGTAAACACTTGTTCTCCCAATTTGCAGTGTTTCTGTTGCCTTCTGGGTTTCCAGATTTTTCTTTCCTAGATGTTAATCTCTTTCATGTGCAATGCTTGCTTATTCTAGGCTACCGTCCCATACCAGCAGAGACTTATGTGGGAGGGAGCTTACCTCTACCTCCCCCAGTAAGTGACCGGATGAGGAAAAGGCGGGCCTTTGCTGATAAAGAGTTGGAGAACATTATGCTGGAGAGAGAATATAAAGAGAGGGAGATGTTGGAAGCTTCCCAAGCTGCTGCCTTGTTCCTGCCCAACCGCATGGTGCATGGACCTGAATACAACTACAAAAGTGCCTACAGCCCTACCCCGGTGGAACCACCAAGCAAAGACTTCTGTAATTTTTTGCCCACCTGTCTTGATCTAACCATGCAGTATTCAGGGTCTGGGAATATGGAACTAATTTCTTCAAATGTCAGTGTGGCCACAACTTACAGACAGTATCCTTTGTCTTCAAGATTTTTAGTTTGGCCCAAGTGTGGCCCCATTAGTGACACTCTCCTCTACCAGCAATGCCTGCTAAACACCACCACCTCAGTTCAAGCCCTGAAATCTGGGGCCAGCTGGGACTTGAAGGGAGTACAAGTCCAGGATGGACTCAGTGCCGAACACGACGTGATGCCACCCAAATTGGAAGGCTCTCTGGTGCTGCCTCACACTCCCGAGGTCCAGACCTCAAGAAGTGACCTTCAGGGTCACCAGGCTGTCCCTGAGAGGTCTGCGTTTTCCCCACCCCAACGGAATTTCTCTCCAGTTGTTGACACGGACTCCCTGGCAGCTCAAGGGCACATCTTAACCAAGATCAGCAAAGAAAGCACCAGGCACCCTCTGCCACTTAAACATAATCCATTCCACTCATTATTCCAGCAAACTCTTAATGACAAATCGGGTCCTGAGTTGAAAACACCATTTGTCAAAGAGGCCTTTGAAGAGGCCCCAAAGAAACACAGAGAGTGTTTAGTCAAGGAGAACCAGAAGTACACATTTACAATAGATAGATGTGCAAAAGACCTTTTTGTAGCCAAACAAGTTGGAACAAAACTCTCTGTGAATGAACCGCTGTCATTTTCTGTTGAGTCTATTCTCAAGAGGCCTTCATCTGCCATCACTCACATCTCTCAGTGAAAGCCTGCTGAAATGGAAAGCTGGATTTTCTGCACTCTCAGAGGGTTCTTACCAGTTGCTAATTTTTTTTTAAAGAAAAAAGTTGAGATGTTTGTATAAAGAAATTTCTAATGTAAATGATGGCGATTAAAAGATTTATATTCGTATGCATGTACTTCTCACCACATATTTAAACTTAAAGTTGGAAATTGCTCATGTGCAAATTGTAAAGTTTCACACTTTACACATTATTTCGAAAGCAATAAAATTGACACTGCCTTATAAAAGACCCAGTATTTGTTGAAGTAAATAGTTGTCTCTGTGGTGAAAAAGCTAGTGTCTGTGAAATGTGATCTTTATTTTTCTATGATTCTTTGTATTTTCAAGTGTTCTTATTGTTTGCTGGGGGCCACAGGAGAACCTTTATAATGCCTTAGATTTTGCATTTTGGAGGGCATGTAAATATAGCTATTCAAGACTGAGGCAAAGATAGTTTTATGGAGAACATAGGGAAGATTTGCATGTTTATAGAATCGTAATTTTGTGTGAGTGGATAAAGTTGAATTAAATTGAAGAGAAATGAAGCTTAATATCTTGTTCATATGATGAGATGGTTTCTTGGAACGGATCTCTTAACTCTCTGGGTCCAGTGTCCTTCCCTGATGGGGATGTGTATGTAGGGCCTCAAGCTTCCTTTTTCTATTGAACCTTCATTCTATGGTTTTTGGTTGCTATGAGCCCAGAATAGGTTCCCTTGTAAGGTGCAGTCCATTTAAATCATGATGGTACGAGGTTGAACTGTCTCTCAGCTCTTGTGTTACTTCTGTTTCCTAAGGACTGGTGACAGCAGGCATTTAAAAGAAGGTCCAGGACTCTCAGCTGGTCCGTGTGTCTCACATTTTCCACCAGTAGGGAAGGTTTTCAATGTAGCTCTTCGCTGAGTTAAAAGCTCTTACTATTCAGATTGCTTCAGCTGCTGATTGCTTGAAGGTATCAGTTGTTTATCGCAGCATGGAGATGGCTTATTGATTCTTAAACCTTTCCCCTCTGTTTCCTGCCCCCTCTGTTTTTTATGTTCATTATTACTCTCTTGTTTTGCTCAAAAAAAAAGTTAACTGTTCTATATGATTGATAAAGTAAGAGTAAGATATTTATGAGAATTATTAAATGTATCTCTGAAGACCTCATCCGTGGACCCCAAGTCAAGTTCTAATATCTTATAGTTATTTCAACACAAAATCAAGAGCCAAATATCTCACCTTTTAATTTTGCCTTGGAGTGAGTTTACTTTCCGCTCTGTTCTCATTTGGATAACAAGAACATTAGGTGGGTGTGTGGAATGTGCCAAGAAAGTCAGGAGTTTAAAGAGTTTGTTTCTTGCTCTGGAAAACATTTAAACTTATTTAGAAATGACTTTGCTACTGATGACCTCATGTAAATCTCAAGGGGCTATCTGCATTGTTGCTTAAAATTAGCATTGGTTTCAAAAACAACAAGCCAAACCTTAGGTTGATTTTTCAGTTTGTTATTTGTAAAATAATACTTGGTTTTGTTGAGTCAAATTTACTTATTTTTTACTATTGCAAAAGCCAGAGCAAATGGAAGTTTGCCAGAAGAAAATAAAATGAAAGCAGGCAGAGATCCCAATAACTGTTGAAGATTATCATTAAGTGGAAAAGTTATATATCCAGGCATGAATGTCTTGGGTCAGAGACAGACTTTCATTCTACCCCCCCTCCCCCATCTTTGCTTTATCTATACAGTTATTTTTATCTTCCTATCAATCAGGAATTTATATTTTTGTCATGTTAAATGTGAACTTAGCATTGAAATCTTACTACTACAAGGTAAGAGAGGAAAATAAAAAATCCACATAAAGAAACCTCAAGGAAGAAGGCCTTCTTAATCCAAACATGGATTTTCTCTCTTTCTTACTCTATTGTAGCCTCTTGAATGCTTACATTTGTCAATTATGTCCTTCTTGTGTTCAATGAACATTTCAGGATGTCCTTTCTGTCCTCTCTCTATATCATTTTAATCTCATTAGGTGAATCCCAGTTGGCTATGAGTATTAGTGGTTTTCCTCACATTACCAGTGTCTAGAACTTTATACCTCTTGAACATTTATGAGGATTAATACTTTCCTTGGTGATTTTATTTTCATACCATGCATCAATTGTATTGTGATGGTGAGTTCTCTGAATTTCAAACCTACCAGCTCTACCATCAGCCACTCAATGAAACTTTTGTGCTTGGCTTTTTGTTTCTTTTAATCATTTTGCTTCCATAAAAGTTACTATTTGACTATAGTCTTAAAAGGACATTGTCATTGACATATTAAGTCAAATTTGTGCTTCAATTTAAGCATTTTCTATGTTTAAGGCAATAAATGGATGTAGCTTTAATCATTTTTAAGAATGTAAAAAAGCCCTAGCCGGTTTGGCTCAGTGGATAGAGCACTGGCCTGTGGACCAAAGGGTCCCAGGTTCGATTCTGGTCAAGGGCACATACCTGGGTTGTGGGCTCAGTCCAATGTGCAGGAGGCAGCCAATCATTGATTCCCTCTCATCATTGATGTTTCTCTCTCTTCCTCTCCCTCTCTAAAATCAATAAAAATAAAAATAAAAGAATGTAAAAAAATAGTCTGGCTGATGTGGATCAGAGGTTGAGCATCGACACGTGAACCAGGAGGTCATGGTTCAATTCCCAGTCACAGCACATGTATGGGTTTTGAGCTTGATCCCCAGGTAGGGAGGCGTGCAGGAGGAGCTAATTGATGATTTTATCTCTCCCTCTTCCTCTCTGAAATCAATTTTTTAAAAAGTATATAAAAAAGAATGCATTGAATAGTAAAACATGGACTCTCTTCTCAATTTAACTCATAATACAATAATGCAACTTTAATGACATTTTCCTTCAATCTCAACTGATCTAGCATTATTTTTTGCTCAATTTGCAGTTCTGAATAGTTAATAGTTTATAGTTAATTTAAAAAGTTCCCTTTCTTCTAACCTTTGGTAGCAGAAATTGGAATAAACCTAGACAAAGTCATAAAGTAGTAAAGCTTTTCCCCTTTTTAAAAAAATGTAGTTCTTTTTAAAAAAATACCTTTTTAAAAAACGTATTTTTAAAAATACGTTTAAAAATAAGAGAGAGAGAAACATCAATGATGAGAGAATCATTGATCGGCTGCCTCCTGCATGCCTCCTACTGGGGATCGAGCCTGAAACCTGGGCATGTGCCCTAACCTGGAATTGAACCATGATCTTTTGGTTCATAGGTTGATGCTCAACCACTGAGCAACATAGTCAGGTTAAAAATATAATACACATTTTTAATTGTGATCAAATCCAAATGACAAAATTTACCATATTCACACTGTTGTGCAACAATCACTAATATGCATTCACAGAACCCTTTTTATCTTGTAAAATTGAAACTCTGTTAAACATTAAACAATTCCTTCCTCCTCCCAGTCCCTGGCAACCTTTCTGTCTATAAATTCAACTACTTTAGGTAGCTTGTATAAGTGGAATCATACTGTATTTGTCTTTTTGTGACTCGCTTATTTCACTTAGAATAATGTCTTCAAGGTTCCTTGATACTGTAGAATATATCAGAATTTTCGTCCTTTAAAGACTGAATGCTATTCTATTGTATGTGTATATCATATTTTGTTTACCCATCATCTGTTGAGGTGCTTTTACCTGTTGGCTATTGAGAGTAATGCTGCTATGAACATGGGTGTACAGATATCTCTTCACCTAGTCCCCACTTCCTGATTTCACTCTTTTTCCATCTTGAGGAACTCACTTTTCTCAAGTATATATACTTCCTTCCCACACTATCCCCACACCCCCAACGTATTCACTCCTCACCCAGGCAACACCACTCTGCCCAATATTAGTTGTGTACCTTTTAATGGGAGTTTGAATGTGTTTTTACACCATCTGCATCTAAAAGCTTAATTCTAATTGTGGAATGAAAAACTTGTACTAACTTGTTTTAAGAAACTTCCTGGAATTCCTTCTACAAAGTCTTAGCAGTGTAAAGAGCAACTAAATGGCTGAAGGTCAAGATGAAGGAAGAAGACTCCACAATTCCCTATAGAATAATAAAGACATCACTTAGCATTGAGGTTGGAGTTTTCAGTCCGTACTAGAATTCTTACTGTACCACCTATTTTATTTATTTTTGGATTAACTTTCTTTGTTCCTATTCCTAGGTCTAGAGGCTCAGGCTTATTTTCTTCTAGGATCCACTTTGTAGGGCTGATAGTTCTTGAGATGGCTGGATGCTGCAATATATAAACACTAGAGGCCCGGTGCACAAAAATGTGTGCACCCGGGGGAAGGGGGGGTCTCTCAGCCCGGCCTGTGCCCTCTCGCAGTCTGG